GTGCTATCCCAGTCCCTGAACTGCCCCGGTCCCTGAGCTGCCCCGGTTCCCGCACAGGTCACACACGAGCTCCCGCAGCTCCGGGAGCGCTGTCCTTCTCCATCCCGCGGGCACCGCTCCGGGATAACGCGCTGGCTCCGCCGCCCCTCCCGCTCCGGCGGGGGATGGCGAGGGCTGTCCCGCCGGCGCACCGGGATTCCCACCTCTCCCCGGGACACAGCGAGCAAAACTCGCCGGCGGGGAGCGCTCCCGCAGCTGCCGGGACCGGGATCGGGGGCAGGAGCGGGATCGGGATGGGGAGCGAGAGAGGGACCGGGAGGGGATCGGGAGCGATGCCCCCGCCCGCCCCAGCAGGTGGCACACGCCGCCCGCTCCCGGCCCCGCTCCCGGTCCCGGTCCCCCCGCAGGGTCCCTCCCAACCCCCGGTGCCGGCCCCGGGCTCTGGAGCGGCTCGGGCCGGGCTCTGGGCCGGCCGGGGATGGACGGGGCTGGACGGGGCGGGGGCCGCCTGACCTGTCGCTCTGTCCCTTCGGCCGCTCCGCTCCTCCGGTGCCGGCGGACGGGCCCGGTCGCAGGGAGGGCAGGGAAGGGGAAAGGAAGGGGAGGGGAGGGAAGGGCGGCCGGGCCGTGTCTCTGCAGCAGCTCCAAGCGCTGCCCGGGGCGGACGGAGACACAACCGCCCCCCTGACCCGGCTGTCGCGGCCCCCGCGCGCTTTGGGGCGGCCCTTACGGAGCCCCGGTGCAGCTCCGACATCCCGGCCCGCACCGGCTGCTCGCCGTGCCCGGCTGCCTCCCTCCATCCCCTCCTCAGCACTCCCTGCACCTCCCCACAGCTCCACTCGCCAGCTCCCCGGGATCTCGGTCCCTGTGTGCCCACCCAGCGCTGCCCGGCGGGGCAGGCCGGGGGATCTCTCACCGAGAGTTTCCAAGCAGTGACACGGCCACAAACACAAATGTTTGGGATGAGAAATGAAATCCAACTGCTTGCCATTGATAAGATGCCCCGAAGTGCACAGAAACCCATCCCCGTGCCTGCCAGAATCCTCAGCGTAATTCCATCACTGTTTCCCGCTGCTTTGCAAACAGTTCTTCCGTGGCAGACACTGTCCCCACCCAGCTCAGAGCCCAAAACAGGCACCTGGTGCCAAAGGCAGGGGCCGAGGATCTCTCTGTACAGCTGAGAGACCCTCGGGTGGGAACCCCCGAGCAGCACCGAGCTGACAGCAGGACACTCACCCCTGCACAGGTGACACAGCTCTGAGAGGTCCCACTGCCCTGCTCCACAGGGATGGGAGGGTTAATTTCTGTGAATTCCAATGCAAACCAAAAGTTGTACAAAATTCACCATTTCCTCATTATCTTTTTCATTTGCACTTCAACGCTCTTCCCTGCTTGTTCAACAAGAAAAGCTTTTCCCAGGACCAAACCACATTGAGCTTAATGGGAAAACTGCCTGGAAAAAAGCAAAGGACAGCCTAGGAGCGAGCCCAGAGCTCAGGGCTGAGTCAGAAAAACAGGACTCGGGATGACCCAAGCTAAGAGAAAAAATAAAATAAAATAAAATTGCTATTAACAGACATTTCTCTTGCAGCTGGTAACCCAAACCAGCACTAAAACACAAACCACGGGTCTAAAAGGTCCATCTAGTTCATGGATACAGTCACAAATTTTACACTGAAAAATCCTTCAGAATTACCCTGCCAAAGGCTGACACTGCCCCTGTGTCACCCTTTAGCTCCTTTTCCTCTCCTGTTTGTTCTCAGAACAAAGTAGCTCCTTGTATTTAAAAGAGTCTGCTGCAGTCTTTCCAGAAATATAGGACAAGCTTCATTAATGATCAGGGAAAAGCTGGATTCTGCTGGAGTCACATTAATTTCATCAAACATTTCATTATAATAATTAACTTCATCTTGCAATCGTGTTACTGATGGTCTGGATTCATTAAAACCACTGCTGTGTTTCCTCTCCTTTTTCATTTCTTGTGCACCAAAAAAACTCGGATTTACTAAACCAGCAGAAGATTTACATTCATAAATCAATTATGGTCATTTATAGAAAAGCTCCAAACATGATCATTTCTCATTTCCCACCACAGAATAGGCAACTCTCTTAATTACCAGTTTAATTTAACACTAAACAGTTAACAGGATAACTAGGGCTTGGTAGTGCTCTCACGGATGACTGAAAATACTCAATTTCTTGATTTTTATCAAAATTATTCTGGGTACGGGGCACCGAAGAGAGAAAAAAATAAAAGGAAAGTATATATAAAAAAAATGAAGGTAAAAATAATCCAGAGGAACCCTTTCCAGTCTGGGTTGGTACACGGGTCTGCTGTGTGGCCGCTGCTGTGGCTGTGAGCTCGGGGCAGCAGAAAGCTGCCTCTGCCTGCAGCAGTTTGCAGCTAAACTCGAGCAATTTGGTCCAGACACCGAAATATCGGTGCTGCAGATCCACAACCACCACACTCCGAGGCTGATCTCGCTCAGAGCCCGGCACCTCGTCATCGGAGCTGGACACCCTTCCCTCTGAGGAAAAGCGCTCGGGAGCAGCCGGAGCCCCGGGACGAGGCGGGGACGTTTCCCCATCCCCAGGGCAAGGGACGGGGACCAAACGCGGCCAGGGAGAAAAGCCCGTCCCAGAACCACCTCCCTGACGGGGACCCTCCGCAGGAACCACCCTGTTACTGCTGCACGAGTTACAGCCGGGACCTTCCGAGCCCGACACAGCCACACGTTCGTACTCTGGGGGGGACAGAGAGCACCAGAGAAAACAGCTGCTGCCTTTACCCAAAGGTCGAAAACCCACCCGCCCACCCGAGGCATCGGCTGCAGCAGAGGAGCTCCAAAATTCAAAACCGGCAGAAAAACGGCTCTTTAGGTCCTCGTCTCACAAATAACGAGCCCCGGCAGCCGGGCAGGGTTTGTACCTCCAGCCCCGTCCCCTGCCCGGGAGGAGCGGACACAGGGAGAAGTTTGGCCTTGAGCACGCACAGCCAGGATGGGGCTGCACATTCTGCTTTTGTTCCCGTGTTTTCCTCCTTTGGAATCGCCTCCCCTTTGTCTCAGCTGAGCCACATTGCTTTTTATTTCCTCTTTTTTAAGGCGCTGTTATGTACCCGGGGATCCCGAGCAGAGTCACCAAACACGTGTGTAAAACACACATAAAACCCCTGCAACACACACACCCCTCACAGAGCTTATTAAACACAGGCCCGAATTTTTCCATCCCCTGTTACTCCTTTTATTCCCCAATATCTGCATCCCAAATAAAAGCTGCAGCTATCACCCTGGAAGCCAGCTCAGGCCATTATCTTTATTACAGAGATTCTGTTTAATATTACAGACTCCTGAACTGCTCAAGTATTTTCCTCATGAAGGCAGCAGTAGCAACAGGAAAAAATAAAACATTTTCCAGACACATTTAGTAAATCATATCATTTTTCTACCATTTTTTCCAATACTCCTTCACAATCACAATTATCTCAGTCAATCAAAGATATCTTCTTTTCAAATACCTATTCAGCATGAATAAATACAAAGAAAATGGACTAACGTTATTCTACCTGTGAAAATTGGCTTCACAATTGAAAAATAGTTAATGAAATGTCTCAATTAATCTCTTTCTAACTAGAAATACATTTTAAATACATCATAATCTGTAACGGGGGGATCATTCAACAGTCCAGGTTCTGCTGTCAATTACTTCACTAGAAATTTTATTTTGAGTCTTTAAGAATTCAAATACTCTTGTATTGTGGGGGGTTATATTCAAAAGGCACCTTGGCCACTCGGGAATTATGAATTCACTGAGTTTGCTGAAAGCCCAGAGCTGCTGATAACATCCTTAGAAGTCCTTCACAGATCCAAATCTGCCTCCTGTTTGCTGACAGGTAACAGCAGCAGGACAGGATTTCTCATTTAAGTTGGGTCTGAAACAGTGACTTGCATTTGATTTGTACTCAACTGGAGGTTTGTGAAACTCTCAATGAGGATTGCTCATCCTGAATCCATTTTTGGGTTTAAGCTTCAGAGAACTTTGCAAATATTGGCAAACCTCATCAAATTCCTATTAATTCCATGTAACACCCCTCACTCACACCCCCCCCAGCACTGCTGTCACCTGCCTAGGAGGGTTCCACCTGCCCTCCTCCTCCTCAGCAGACTCCCAAACCATCTCCTGCTCTCCCGTTCCTCTTCAAGGCAGACACCAACAGAGTTCCCAGCCTGGCACTGTGCTCCCCACCCAGCCCTGCCCACAGTTCCCATGGCCATGAATCCCCCACCCTTCTCAGTGTGTTCTGCCACCATCACCCGTTTCACAGCATCTGCTTCACCACCAGAGGAGTCAGGGGCTGGAAGATCTGAACTCTGGGGGGTCCCAGGGACACCCCAGCAGAGCTGCTGAGCAGATCAGTGCCTTGGCTGGCTCCTTTCAGTGCTGCCCCTCCACACCACGCCCTGGCCAACCCCCAGAGCCCCTGTGGAGGGGTGGGGTGGGCACAGCAGCCCCTGTGGAGGGGTGGAGTGGGCAGGGCAGTCCCTGCAGGGCCGTTACCTGCTCGTTGACGTGGCACAGAGCCAGGTTCTGCTCATCACAGGAACAGGACACACGGATGTACTTCAGCCAGCTGCCAGCCCCAGCCTGGCCAGCATCCACACAGAACTTCTCATTGCCCAGGTCGTCAGCAATCTGCAGGAGAATGGGAGAAAGGCACAGGTCAGCTGGCACCAAATGGCAGCTCTGGGGAGAGGAGAGGAGGCAAAACTGTTTGCAAGGCAGGACTCTAAACTAGAAACAGAAAAGAGAACTCTGGATGATACACACAGCTCATAGAGAGCTGACAAGAGTAAAACCAGCTCTCAGCCATAATCTGAAATTCCTTGTTGGCAGAACCTCCGAGGACGTACAGCAGAGTGGTCCAGGAGGAACAGGATCAGGACCACAACTGGAGACAAACACACAGCTCTGGTCTCCACACCAGTCCAAGGAACCAGAGCAGGTAATTCCTCCAAACTGTATTGATTTCAAAGACAAGGTCCTTAAACTGCTCCGTCTTCACCTTATCCATTTTATCCTTTCATGCAGGACCATTTTTAATTACAAATGTTTCAATACACTTTCCAAACAAGTCACTTTCCACAGTGCTGGGAAATGGTATTTTAAAAAAATGCTTTAACAAATGATACTTTCATTTATCAAAGTACAGCATGAGAAATCCACTGACCACGTCCGTGGGGCTGAGTGTGAGACACAAGTGGGCTTGTGTGCAAAACCGGACTCCTTCCAAACAAAAACCTCCAAATGAAAGTCCAGGTGTGTGGAAAAAAGAGTTAATTAAAGGTCTGTGATTCAAAGAAACACACTGGTTTACCAGGAAGAGACTTTTTCTCTCCTAAGACAGTGAAGTTTAGTAACAAAACCAGAGGAGATGCTCAGCATTCCCAATCGATGTTTGGGATGATCCAGTTTGCAACTCCCATAAAAAAGCACATTTAAAAAATTACACAGGACACCCTGAAAACAAGGAAAAGGCCTTTGAGCCCAAGCATGGCAAAACCCTGTTCTGCTCCTAAGTGGGCCTCCTTGTTGCAGAAACTCCTTTTTCCCTTAGATTTCCCTCTACCCTGACAAGACCCTGTGTCAGTGCAAATTACTTCAGTCATCAGAAGCTCTTAACATGCTTTTACTAGCAATTAATTCTCTCAAAATCTCATGGGATACGATAATACTTTCCCATCTATTTCAAGACAGAGGGGAAAAAAGAAAAGGTGGGAAAACAAAGGAAAGGAAAAATTAAAACCCATCGATGACAGCAGCAAGTCAAGTCCAAGGCTGGGCTGAGGAACCTCGGGGGGATGTTGCCAGCTGAGACTCTCACTCCCAGCCCTGAACCCCCAGGACTGCAGGACCTGCCAGCATCGCCAGGAAAGCTCTCACCTCCCTGCACACATTCCCTGGTCCCTCACCTCCTGCACTAACCCCTTCCCACCATCACTGTTTGCCTTCTTCCTTCCTAAATCAAACATGGCACTGAGGGTCACTGAAATCCTGCCTTTCCTCCCCAGACGTGTGTTTGGGACAGAACTGGGGCAGGAAACAACCTGTGTGTGCTCAGTTCTTTCATCCCCTGCCTGAGAACACTCATGGCCACTGACTCTGCCCTGACCAGACCCTTCCTCAAAACCTGGTACTTTCTGGACCCCCTTGTTCACCTCCCCTGAGCTCTGCTGGGAACACCAAAGGCCTCAGGTGGGGCAGTGATGGCACAAGAAGCCAATTTTAGGTTGTTTGGGCTTTGCAAGAAAAAAACAACAACAAAAAAGTGTTTGTAACATGGGGTGAAAGGCTGTACTAATTCAAGCTAAAATAACCATAACTCCTGTTTTAGCTCAGGGAACTCCAGGAACACAGAGGCTGACTAAAGCTGTTGAGATTGAAGTGCTTCTCTTGGCCTTACTGACCCCAAATTAAGTGGACCAGTCAAACCAGCACCTGGAGGGGCAGGAGTGGGGACACACCTAATCAGAAAGTGATAACAACTTCCAGGAAATTCGTCTGGAAAACAGAATGAGATGAATCATCGATGCTCAGCTGGTCTGAAGCCACTGAACAGTTTTTAAAGGTTTGAATAAACAGCAGCCCACAAACCTCCCAGTGCCATTAATTTATAAGGCAGCAACTGGTGATGTTCAGTCGCCCTGGGAACACAATGTGGAAAACTCCAGCACGATTCAAACAGGCTGTTTTATTTCACAGCTGTATCTTACAGACACCCTCTCTCATCTTCCAGAATTGTTTGGTGAAGACACTCAGATTGTAGAATCACAGATGGGTTTGGGTGGGAAGGCACCTCCAGGATCATCTAGTTCCATGGGGAGACAGCTCAAGGAAAGCTCAGAATTTGGCTCAAATTCACTTTGCAGGTCCCTGCTCAGGCTCCAGGGCCAGCTCTGCCTCAGGAGGAGGTTCTGTCGTAGCTCGAAATCACCTGAAACTGTGGTTTTATCTGCGTGGGGAAATAAAACCCAAGCTGGGGGTGTGAAAGCTGACAGATCAAAACGAGAGAAAAAAAAGGTTGCATGAAACCCTGAGAACTTCAGCTCCTGTTTTTCACACACACTCACTGTACCCCACAAATAGAGCCCAGCATCATGGCCCAAGGCCCGGCAGTGGCACTGGGGGGGACTCTGCAAACAGCCATCCCTCCTCGAGTGTGATGCCTCTGCTGGGATCAATGAGGACCCTTTGAGAAGAAAATAAAGGGGGTAATCAACTGGTCTCAAAGTGCTGCAGGACCAGTCCTGGAGCAGAGGGTGCTCCGGGGTGAGCTCAACCCTTGGTGGCCAACACCTCTAATTAAAGCTCGAGTTCACACGCTCACGCTCTCGGCTGATCTTCTGGGTCAAGGTTATTTCACAGCATAAAGAACCCTGAGAAATCCAAAAGCCACCACCAGTCACTATCTGCGGTATCTATTTTTTTCCTCTGTCAAAGTGTGCACACACAGAATAACATTCTAAGCCTCTCTTCCTCCCACCTTAAAAAACTCCGGAAAAACAAGCTGAGACATTTTACCACATCTTCTTCCAGTTTAGACCAGAAGGAAATCAGAAATTTCCTCTGGCAAAATTCTGCAAACCAACAGCTTACAAGTCGTTGTCAGTAACTAAAAAAAAAAAGAGATTTCCAGCTTGAAAATGCTCCTGGAAAGCTCCTGGAAAATTCATTTTTCTGTGTTTAGAAGAAGTAGGAGCAGCATCAAGAGGTAACTGATGCTCTGAAGAAGGGCAGGTGGACAGAAAAAAGGGAGGCAAAGAGTGTTGGCTCTGGGTAAATTGAAGGTCCCAGATGGAAGCACAGAGGGATTCATCCTGCAGTGAACTGCTGGAAACCTCAGCTCCACACAGCTGCTGGAATGGGGCTGCACTCACCACAGTACTCCTCTCCAGCTCTGTTAAACCTGGTTGTTCACAGTTAAGACCAGAACTAAGGTCATCCCTACCCAGGACTTATCAGCAGCTTTAATCATGAGCCCATCCATTCACAGATATCCCTGTTCCCTGGACAGGTAAAGGCTGACATCAGGTATTTACCACCAGCAGCAACAAAAGAGATGCCACAGGAAGGAAAACCCAAGGAGAAGATCCTGTGTGCTGAGCAGGACTCTGCCTTGGTGGAGCTGACAGGGAACAGTTGCAGTTGTGCCTGTGCTCTGGGCTGGAGCTGGCTCTGCACCAGCCAGGCAGTGCAGAGCTCTCTCCAGTGGGTAATTTGGCTCAGACATTAAAAGAAGTTGTCAGAGCGAGAGGAGAGGGGAAAAAAGGTGTGGAGATATGGGAGAGGAGAAAAAAATAAAATAAATTTATACTTAGTAACTGGCACTGGTTTTGCTGGTCTGTAACCAGTACATGCCGATACTCCAGCCAGTTTTGGGGCAATGCTCTTCACCCCCTTGACCCTCTCGGATCTGAGGCACAGCATCCCTGTCCTTTGGAGCTGGGCTCCCTGCAGGAACACATTGTGTCCCTTTTACCTTGTCCCCATGTTAAACCACGGGCAGGGAGGGACAGCCACGTGCACTTGGGATCTGCTGGAAAAGCAAACTTTCATCTGGACTGTGGCCTGAGGGCTCGGAGAGTTAATTCCTGTGGGAGCATTTCCTCTGCCTCATCTCCCCCGACCACTCTTCCATTTGATCCCACCCACCCCATCATGGATTTCTCCCTGCTTTTTTTTTTTACTCAATATGCCAAAAACTAAGTTCATCTTTTCTCCCTCTGCTTCAGATGGTGAGTTCAGTGTTTATTTATTAACCCCCAGCACCTCCCAGCACTTTTGTCTGCAAATCCAACAGTTCATCGAAGAACTCCCAATTCCCCTCCTCTTCCCTACCAGTAACTGTGCCATGTCTCTGTCTGGCAGAGTCATTCCCTGTGTTTCCACAGAACACTCTCTCCTCCCTGCTCCAGAGTCCCCATCCTCCTCCTCTCCAGGCTCTCTGCTCCAAACGAATGCACCTCCATGTTCCCTGGGATTACAGGGCTTTAACTGGCCCACTGCAGAGACAGGGATTTGGGCTGCAGAGCCAGAACGCCGGCTGTGGCTGCGGTTCAGGCTCATCCCTCTCCAGCCAAAAGGAAATTGTTGTCATGTTCCAGGGCTCACTTTGCAGCTTCATCTGCCGTCTGCTGCGCGGCGCTCGGGGTTTGGATCCAAAAGGCTTCACTGATCTCGCAGAGGCTCCGTTCCATAATTTATTAACATCAGAAATGCTGAGTTATGGAGCAGAAGTTATGGAAAAATTCGCCCCGAACGTTTACAATTTTTTTTGCACATCATTTGAGGTTTCCTGCTCCCCTAATTTGTGGGCTCTCTGCTGGGCTGTTCCTTTCACGTTTCAGTGGGCAGCGTCCAAGGCCTGGCCCCGGCAGAGGTGTGCCGGGGGCCGCGGTGCCTGCGGATCTGTCGTCAGGTCGCTTAATGGATTCCTAGTGTGCATGAAGAAACGAAGCAACCAGGAGTTTGCCATCAGTGACCCAGCGTCCTGTTGCTATAACATCCCTCCCCAGAAGCCCAAAGTGTAATAAACCTTCTCATCCCGTGGTCGCAGGATCTGCCTCTGACAGCTTGGCCGATGTGCGCATTTTATTTGGCAGGAGCTGGAGATTTTTCCTCTTTTTTTCCTCCCC